GTAAAGAACTGCACGAGAAAAACAAGTAAGTGAAAAAATATATAAAAATAAGGGGAAATGTAGCACTCGTGCCCAGTGCCTCATCCGTGCAGAGCTTATCCCTGTTTCCGTTACGTGAACAAACCAGGAGTATTCCTATTACAAGAATTGAGTCAATCGCAGGTTATTCCCTCCTCCAACAATTTTTTTAGGCTTCCATCATTACGCTACCATGTTTCGCGCAAGTGAATAAATTACTTGAGAGGAATCCACTTTGGAATGTAGTTTCCGACGATTGATAAATTTTTTCGCTGTCCATTTGTAGAGGACAATATCATTGTTTGAAACTACGCGGTGAGACAAAGGATACTTTAGTCATGACTTCTTTGTTAGCTTCTTTTACGTGACTGAAGGTGAGGTGATTACGTTTGATATGCTTGAAACTCTTCTTCTTTCTCTAGTGCTACTGGTGACCAAGCATACATGTTGCAGATTGGATCAGGGATGGTTTACATGTACTGCCATATGACGGGCCTCGGAGCATGTGGAGGTGGTGGATGGACACTGGCCATGAAGATCGACGGTAACAAGGTGATACTCAGGACTTCGTAGTCAATACAGCTCAATATTCGTTGAATAGTTTAAGATCGTAACAGCTTTGACTTTAAGTATGGGCATCACCGGTGTTAGAAAAATTCATTCATTCCTACAACAAAGCAAACTGAAACACTATCGAAAAGATAAATCACCTTAAAAAAAATAGTATTTCAGCCCTATAAAAAAACAGAAATTATTCGTTGTCACTCATGTAGCATTTTACATTCAACTGGCTCATTGCTCTCAGTGGCATGTAACAGTGGCCTTAACAGGTCCTTCCAAATCGCTTCGTCCTGGGCTAATCTTGCAGCGTTCCCAAAACCAATACCAACACTCCGCGTCTCTTCTAGTACCATTCTCCTCTGATTTGTTCGCGGACGGCCCCTTTTTCCTTCCTCCTTCTTTAGTCTATATCATTTCGGTTCTTGCATGCGTCATCCGTAGCACATGGCCAAACCATTTCCAACCTCTTTTCCGTAAATAGTTTTCATGGTTTCTTACCTTAGAGCTTGTACATGTAGTGGCCTGGCGTTGGAGAAGTTATGAAGCATTTGTCTCTTTATATTTTCCAGAATACCTTTCACTATAACTCCGAACTTTGGAGCAATGAGGCAGAATACAATTTTCCAGGGGGCATAACTGGGTTTGATAACATTGAAACTAAGCTACCGACCTACTCAAAAACGTCTTTTACCAAGATCTGTCTGGGTGTGAAGATCGGTCAGCAGATCAACTTCATCTTCATCAACCAACAAGCTGACTCCCTCTACTCCCTGATAGCAGACGGACAATATCGTGATACCTCGCTGGGTCGTGACACGTGGAAATCGCTGATTGGGATAAACGCCTCTCTGCAGTTGAATTGTAACAAGGAAGGGTTCAACGTTGTTTCTACCAATATTAGGTTAGCGAAAGCGAGAATAGGAATAATAGGCAATAACGAAGATAATTGCGCGAGTTGTGATTCTAGAATCGGTTTTGGAACAGGAGGAAAGCATGATGATTCAAATTCATGCGGAAACGAGGCTGTCTTGCAGAAAGATAATGGTAACGCGCATATCAAGGCCATGGGGTACATTTTTGTTCAGTAGTTTGTAATTATACCAAATTATTTTTTTATGGTAAAGGGTGTCCTGGTCCAAGCGGATTTTTGACGACTGTTTCTTTTTCTTTATCAGTGAAAGTCGACAATCATATCCTTAATACCGTCGGTTTCACGCGACGGTTTTAAAGCTGACCTCATTACTACCCTCTCTACATACCCAGGCTCTACTCATGTACCTTCTTGAACCTTTATAATCTAGCTAAAAATTTTAGACACGATTAAAATCACCGAAAATTGTAAAGCTCACCTGATGCTGTGGCCATTTCTTTGAGCAGGAGGGAAAATTTATGATAAAAGTTGGCAAGGGCACAGATGACGGTGGACGAGATACAATTTAACAAATAAAAAAGCCTCGACTGTGCTCTGTTTTGTTATAAAGCACTCAGGAAGCTGCTGAAGCACGAAAGAAGTTTAAGGGAAACACGAGACGCAGTCAAGTGTTTTCCCTACTTCATCGAGTTCTATTTTATGTAATATCATATAAATTCACGTCTGAAATAACCAGGAAGGAAACCATCGGATAGAAACCCACGGATGTCCTCGAGGAATATGTGATTAACAAAATAATGAGTTTATCTATAGGCGAAGGATAATCAGAAAACGCTAAAATACAAAGTAAATACATGAACGACACTGACAACCATCTTGGCGCTCAATAAGAAACTCATGCATTGTTAAGCAGGTAATTTAGTGTTAACAACTGAGTTGAAAACGTAAATTAGCTACCGTTAAGGGTAAAAAAGCTGACGTTTCGAGCGTTAGCCCTTCGTCAATCGCTCTGACGAAGGGCTAACGCTCGAAACGTCAGCTTTTTCACCCTTTACGGTGGCTAATTTACGTTTTCAACTCAGTTGTTAACACTAAATTACCTGCTATACTCTCCTACCGACGCAGCACCACAGTTTCTATAGAAACTTACCCCTTTTTTCATGCACTGTTTAATCATGTTGTAGTGATCGCTGAGTTTCAATATCAATACTTAGATACCGGGGAACTATAACCACCTAGAGGGTTTACTAGTAACCCTAACCGATGACCTGAATGATACGTTTGACAATGCATGATTTGGTGACAACCTCGCACTAATCCTAAACGTTAAGATCTTTTGAGTCAAATCACAATTATGCAATAAATGAGCAAACAAAAGCAAACAAAAGGAATCTGTCTATCGTACAAGTACTGTCTCCCTTTGCAACGCTTGCTGATCTACAGCTTTCCACATTAACGCAAACACTGTTCTTCTGTTTCATGCTTTCCATGATATAGCAGCATGGCGGGCAAAGAAACACATGTAAGAAATCGGAGAAGGAAAACGTTATCGGTTTGCTTTGTCATTGGTTGAAAGAGCGTGCTCTATGAGAGTTTATATAATAAGCTCAAATACGCACGCATTCTGATTGATTCTCACTTATGATCTATTAGAGGACAGACCTATAGATGACGTCATCATTAAGACTTTTTTTAATTCTTTATTATATAAAACAAATAGATTCCAAGTTGCCGTGCGTCTGTTCAGTAATAGATCACAGATGACGTCAAAATGTGGTGAGAACAGTGACACACTGTTCTCACCACGAGGCTGCGCCTCGTGTGCCACTTTTTTTGTTCTCACCACATTTTGACGTCATCTGTGATCTATTACTGAACAGACGCACGGCAACTTGGAATCTATTTGTTAAATAGAGCATAGAGCTGAGCTAAAGCTGTCACGCCATCTGCCAAATTGTACTATGTTTGACCTTTTTTTGGACTTCTCTCTGGCTTTTTTCGTTAAAAGGAAAAGCAATTTACCAATAGCGTATCTCCACTTTCTGCATACAGCTATTTCAATTTACGTTGTCGGATCAAAGCCTCAAGCCTACAAGACAAGACCGAATGGGGAATATGGGATCTTAATGAATAATTATCAGCAAAATTAACAATGCCTCGTCCATACAGTGAAGATCTCCGATGTCCATGTCCATCTCGCGCCGACAACCCCGACAGCCTAAAATTAATTCTAATCTACCCATACCGCCTTTCGGTCTTGTCCCGTACCCTTGAAGCTTTGATCCGACAACGTAAATTGAAATAGCTGTATAAACCCACACACCAACTCATAATTCCTCCAATCGCTCTGACGAAGGACTAACGCTCGAAACGTCAGCCTTTAAATTCTTTACGGTGGCCGTTTTCAACTCTGTTGATAATACAAAATTACCCTGTTTATTACCCTGCTATACTCTCCCACTAATGTAGCATCACAGTTTCTTTAGAAACTTACCCCCTTTATTCACATGGTTGGATATTAGCCGAGTTCTTTCTTGCTTTTTTATGGACCGAGAAAAATGGTTACTTGACTTTCATTTGTGCCTTTAAATATACAACAGTCACGTACCTTTTGTCGACAAGACCAGGGAAACGCACACGAGACGCAGTTTAATTTGGATAATACTGACGTGTACCAACATTTAGGTCGGCGAATCTTGGTTTTGGATGTCACATAAAGAGACTCTCAGCTGTATAGTTCCCGTCCAGTTTGGCCACAAGGTTTCAAAATTGGTAGGATTTTTTCTGCCCCATCCTGCTAGAGAAACCTCTGAGAGCTCAAACGAAACGCAAATACCGTATTTCGTCAAATAAGCGCCCAGGCGCTTATTCAAAATTTAAGCACCTTTCAAGCTCGAAGAAATCTCGGTGTTAATACATGAGCTAATAATAAAGATGCTAAATTATGATGTCGGTCATATGTATGTCATAATGATAAAGATGCTAAATTACGAGCTCGGTCATACGTAGCATACAGGAGAAAAATTAAGTCCCCATGAGGATTCGAACTTCAGACTTTCGTACACCACCCTCCAATGCTTTACCATTCGAAGATGAAGTAAGTCACAGACCATCGTGAGTATTCAATAAATATGTCTTTGAACCCCACTCACTTGATTTAAATTGAGTGTACGTGTTTTATCAGTGTCGCTTTTTCACACCAGAAATGGAATTATCGTGGAGTCATTAAAAGCTTCCAATTTTCAGGCTTCTGACTTACAGGAAAAAAAAGCTTTTGGATGACGTAGCATAAAAACTTTCAAACTGTTGTAATGTCTTGCACTTTGATATCAGTTTCTTCAAAATCCAAGTATTTCTCACGTTATCCTGCGGTATCTTTCTCTTTCCTTTACAATTTTGAATGATTGACAAGGTCACGTGAATATATAGAGGTATTCGGTTCAGGCGCGCGCTCGATCATTACACGTCACTTATGAGTGTAATTAGTCTCTATGACGACAAACAAGCCAAGTTGTTCATTTCTTCTTTGCGAGAATGCTGCGTTTGCCGAATGGTTAACTCAGTGTCCATTATGAAGAAGGAAAGAGTTTATATCAGTATTCTCTTTTGTTTACTGATTTGTTTCAGCTTTAATGAAGGTAAGGAGAACCTTTATTTTGAATTTGCGCGTGTTCTGCTTGTTCGCGTTTATGTTTCTGGCGTAACGGCTTAATTTTGCGTCAGCACAATCAGGCGTTTTTCGGTTTGACTGACAGGCAAGCTATTATAATTTGATGAGAAAATAAAAACGAAAAGCATTTCAAAGGAAAAGCATCAGCATAAGAAAAGCATAACCAGAATGTGTAAGGAAAACGTGTCATAACGCCTTTGGATTCTCTTTGAAGTTTCAGGGTTTTTAATACCTTTGAGCAAAGATGATTTAACTCCGGCCCCCAGGCCCCACTCGACCTTCCACGGAGGGCGCATCCTCACATCGGCCACTACCAGAGGGAAGCCTCACAGAACTGTAGATGATGCACAGGTCATTAACGATGATATAGAAGATATAAAGTCTATGGAATCGGCAGCGAATAACAATCATGCTAACTGGGAGGAAATTATGATGAGAAGAGCTGCCAATGAAGACATCTTAGAGTACCCCGGTAGTGATAAAAAATTTCCATCAAACTTTAAGTTGAAATCGCTTTTAACGCAAGCCATCAAGCGAGGACAAGACATTGCGGCTTCTCAGGAAGCACCTGGTACGGGTAAGATATAGTCGATGATTATTAAGAAACTGGAAAAACAACTTCTTTCAATGCGAGTTAAAGTAGATAAATCTTTCCCAACGCTCATTGTGACTATTGTTTGGGTGGAGAGAGAGGTATAGAGTGAATTATCTGTGCTATTGCAGCAGCAAAGGAATTTTGCGAGAACAACAGAAATTGTAAGGAAACATGACGTTCCACCTATGGGCTGTTATCTTTAGACTGAAGTTAAATTATCTTTTAGAAATGATCCGGTAACTTAAAAGTTCTTTCTACAGTGATGAAATGACTTCGGGTCTCAGCTCAAATAGCAATCAGATAAACAGACAAAACCACATCAGGATCATGCTTTACTTAAATTTTGTGCGTGTTTTGCTGTCAAAGTTGGCGCATGCATGTTTGCAGCAGAACGCGGGTCAGGTTCTAATATCAAAGTCAATGCAAAAGATTTCTTGTTTTCGAGGCTGATAATGGTTTTATCTGTAACTGCTCTTGCTTTTTAGGAAACTTATGTTGATACGGGCGAGATCCTATCAATATTTGGTAAGAACAGGGAAATCGACTTCAATGCAAATGAAGGTGCACTAGAATGTTCATTGCAAGATTCTTTTTTTAAGGGGGGGGTGGGGGCGGAAGGAAGTGGGGATAGGAAGGAATAAGATCTTAGATCGAATGGACAGAGGAAGTATGCTATTCCTATTTTCACAATCAATACAATTTTATGAAGAGGGGGGGATTCAACTGAGAAGTGAAAAGCATAGTTAATGCTGGATTTGGTTCATCAATCTGTATTCTACGGGGACACTTAATGTCGATTTCACCGGTATCCGTTGCTCTGCTACTCAAAGATGACGCGGGCAAATCATAGGGCAAGCTTGATTTCTGAGAAATGACCTTAATCTTGGCGTTGACCCAGATTAGACTTAGCAGTCAGATCTCACTTTAAGTTCAGGTTCTTCTCAACCTGATCTTAGATATTGGTTGTCTAAGTTCAATCCTGAAAAAGTCTTAAATTTCTCGTTTATTTAACAAGATAACCCCAAAGACGACACCCCAGGGGAAACCAGAAAGAAATCTTCCGTTCGAGATGAAAAGGAATCACACTTACCTGATCATCATCCTAGGACAAACGGTAACGGACTCGAACCGCGTGGCACATCTACCTTACAAGAAACGAAGAGAAATATCGAGCCCACAAATATGGCGTCTGCTGAACCCCGGTGGAGGTTGGCTGTGGATTATGAAAGCGAGCCTCACCATGAAGATAAAAAACGAAGAAGAAAATATAGGAGGAAAGGAAGACTGGAATCGCAATCTCAGACTAAAAATCCAGCGGATGATGGGTCCTCGATGGCTGTTGTAGGACTTATAGGAGGAATGTTTCTGTTTATGGCGATTGGGGCTGTGTTTTATCGCGTCTGGTAAGCAATATTTTCATCTTTCATCAGTTGGACCACATTTTAGTTAAACATCATACATAAAAAACGAAATAGCTTAAATATTACTTTAAGTTAGTCAGCCCAGACTTGTGGCTGGTTTACGGAAACTCTGTTCGTGAACTGGAATATTCATTCCAGTTTGTTCGCTAGTGACTTTTGAAAGTGACTGTCGGTAAAACTTTTACAGGAGAAGTTTTAGGAAGGGAATTAGACGAGATCGAGGCAGTCTCGAACGAGGTATATCATCAGACTCGAAGTGCAACATCAAGCACGACAGGAATGAAGATGTCATCTTTGAAAGAGAACCTAAAGGATGGAACGAGGAGGAAGATGAGGAAGGTGAACCGAATGTTAGTCTTAAATGAAAAAGCCTAAAACTTCAGGATTATAAAGAAAGTGAGAAAGACAGCGTAAAACAAACAGCAAACGTAAAAAAAATCACCCTATTTGCATTAGATGTGGACAAGATAATGTCATTTTTTTACCATAGAGTTTGTTCGCAGATAGGAAAACGAGTACAATCAACACTCATTTTTTACCGTAAAATCCGACTTTACCGGTCATGTCGGGAATCTTTTATCAGACAATTCAAAGAAAATAGGTGAAAATTTCTTGATCACAGCCTATGAGTATATGTTTTCTTTGGTGTACAAACAGCTGAAATCAGAGTGGTAAAGTCAAGTGTAGCAAAGCGATATGAAATGAAGTGAAGTGAACATAAGTGATATGAAGTAAAGCAAAACCAAGCACATCTGAGAAAGTCTCCCATCTAAATTAAATAGTATTAACGTAGACTTTGCTCAGTGCATAACTCCTTATTCTTGCTACAGATCGCCCAGGTAAAAGGGTACGATTAAATTTGGAAGTTTCCCAACATCCGCCGCTAAAAGGTATACTTAAAGGTAAGAAAAAAAAAATAAAAAAAAATAAAGCAAAGCTCGATAAATTCAATTTTGGATCTAAAACAAACTTTAGCAATAACTCGTTGTTTAATTGTAATGTCCACTTTTACTACAGATACTCGCAGCCGAGTCGAGCAATTAAATGCGGAGCCCTCCGATTCTTCGCAGCCGACCTCGTTATCATCCCTGTCTGCTCCATCACTGTGTTCTTCCATCGGTACGCCGCACTCCACCCCAACAAGTGGCTGTTCTGTGGAATATATAACCCTCCTCGACTCTCATAAAGATTTTAAACTGAAGCCTTGGATGCTGCAATCCTCTGGATATTCCTCATCAAGTGATGCGAAGATTACAGCTGAAACAGAACGAGACCTGGCGGCTCCACCTCAATCGTCCACCATTTCAGGTAAAATAATCTGATTGAAAGCTAACTCCCAGAATGATGGATCGAAATAAGACAATCTTGGGGTAATAAACTACATTCTTAAAAGAACTCATACAATCTCGTTAGTTTGATTTCTATTATTTGTGATATAGCAGCCTCTCGTCAACTGACAAGCATTGTTACAATGTAAACAGGTGGCTCTAACTCCTCCTCTGAGTCGTGCAAGACACCAGTAGCTGCCAGCAATGAAGTCATCATCACAATCAACGATGACGACGATTGCAAGGTGCCGTTGTTGTCTTCAGAAAATGAGGGTTCATCCGCTGAAGTGATCTACGTTAGGGACGATTTGACGACAGAAAGAGATGAAGATAATGCTAAAAAGCGATCAGGTGATTGAAATGTAACGAGAACGCTTCATAAAAAGAAGCAGCGTGACCAGTAGATGTTCGAGTTTCGAAATCCGTAAGTCTGAGGTTTGAATTATCGCAGGAGACTAAGATTCTTTTCTTTGTCTTTCGCTCGCGACAAAAAAAAAACATATTTATATTACACGTATGTCTTCTCTGAAAAGGACCGCCGGTACATCAACCTTTTGACTGCTTGCAGCTCTTTAAATGCAAGTAGTTGTTTTATTTCTTGAGTCAATAAAATGTTAGTTTATAATCATCTCTATGGTAATAACACGCTGGGTATGATCTACGGGCGAACCACCCCTGCCTCCTGCTCAGACAAGCCCTCCATCTTATTCGACGGATTTAGAAACACGGGAATCTAAGAACAAAATACGGTAATTAAATTAAGACAGGTCCGTTAATTGGAGCATAACAATTGACTCCCGATAGTGAGGTGGTAAGTCGTCTGACTTTAAATGATTCACTCAGGAAAGTCTCTGATTGGTGAACACAAAGCTTTGGAGGATCGCCGATCAACCACACATCTGACGTCAGGTAAAAACTCGGACGGTTTGCATGGAGACCTCAACAAGGTTCGGTCCCAGATCCTGGTCAAGAATAAACAGGTTCTCAACAGAAACAGGGAGAGGAGAAGAGTGATTAAAGAGGGAACTAAAATGACAGTAAAATCCTTGGAGGAGAGTGTTTTACTGGCAAAGGTAACCGCATAAACTTTCGGAATGCATCCAAAGTGTGCGGAAATGGTGGTGATATATAAAGCCGCTTTTTTTTTCTTCAGAGTATCTCTTGAAAGAGTATTCGAAGGAGGGGGGCACGAACAGTGAAAGTTAGATGGAAGGGAACTACGACAAAAATGGCAACGAACACTCTTAATGACCAATTGCAACCTCTGGAGCAGGTGTAATCTTTTTGGCGTTTTCCAACGGGGCTTAGCCAAACACGTGGTGAGCGCAAGGGGTAGTCATGCACGGAAAAGGATCGCTAATCTATTCATACGTCACGTACATTTTCCAAAACTCTTCTAAAAAACGTCTGACAAATGCCTCTTTTGCAGGTCAGACTTGATTTTTTTCCCTGCTCCCACAACATAAATTAAAACCCTTCTACATGGTAACTTGCTAATTTTCTCCTATTCATGTTTTTTTTTTCTGTTTTAGTCAATTATATCGGATGAGGCAATGAACAAGGAACGTGATTTGAGGTGTATCAAGCGTCGACGCATAATCCGTAAATTTTTTTCACTGCGACTTCACACATCTTTATCAGAGAGTGTACCGCTGGCGCAGTCAGTCATTTTACCACGACCTGTTGATCCAAAGAAAGTGAAAAGAGACAAGGAAAGACTTAAAGTTATAAAAGAATTGTCAAAGGAACATGTCAACCCTTCATTTGAAGACGTGATTCAGATTGTGGCCTCAATCTCTCGCTCGGTCGAGGTTACGAGAGAATTGGAAAAACAAAATGATTTCAAAAGACATGTGAGTATTCTGGAAAAATAAAACAGATTGGTTGAAGACATAAGAATCGATTTCAATTTATGACGATATCTTTCTGAATCTTAAAAAAATAGTCGTTTTTAAGCAATATCACATTTTCGTCGTCACACTTCTTAGTCCATACTAAAACACCCATTTAAACTCGTGGTTACCCTCTGCTACGACAAGAACAAAACTTTTATTGTACCTGGTCAAAAGAGCTCTCGTTACCGGAATCGTTGTTATGATGACGATGATGATGTTTATTCTGGACTCCTACAATGCCTTATTGTGGTTGTTTTAATCCTCCTTTATTTTAACTGAAATCTCTTTGTTTTACTCAGTTGATTTCCCTTGACACAAAAACCTTTCCAATCAAGAATATGATGCCCACTTTTGAAATGGATATAAAGTTTGTCCGGAACGTGATCTTTGGTCGGTTTGCTTTTGATCATGGCGAAAATCCCCAGATGGGATGTGAGTGCTTCTACTGTGACAATTACTGGAGTAAAGTAGGGGGACCACACTGCTCCTATATACCAAAGTAAGGATGTTTCCTCTTTTATGTTGGGAATTGTTAGAGATGAGCGACAGAAATTGCCTTTAGCTTCTTAAATTGTGAAAGCTATGCCAAGAGGATAATTTAAGGGAAAGGAATTTGAGGCAATGGAAAGAAAATCAGAAAGAAAGTATAAAAATTTACTTTCTACCACGTTTTGAGATTCCGAAGAGTCATTGAACCGTTCGCCAAATGTGTTGCTCGGTCATGGTAAAACTTGTTATTTGAGTCAAGGTTACTGGAGTCAAGGATACCTCTTAGTACAGCATCCAATTGTTAAAGTAGATCACCGAGGAGGAATAAGAACGGCCAAGCTGTTAAGCCGATTTAAAATGGCGGCGTCTATGGTCTCATTTTGTAGTATGGTTGAAGACAATTTTCGAGGGGTTGGGTTACTCTACTCTCTTCATACATATTTTTTTTTCAAGTGGAGATAAAAATTATATGGTTTCTGGAACATGCTTCCCTTTCAGCGAGCTCTCTTGAGATTGCATGATCAGTTCAGAAACTGTACCGCAACTCAAATCAAATGGAATATGTGGGTGAAATCTACTTACAGTTGTATAGAAATTTAATGTGTAAACACAGGCTCGGTTTTGAAGTTAATCGCTTAGTTTTTCGAGTTGGTAAAGATCATTTGTAGATAAGTCTAGCATTTGTTTATTCGCGGAATACGTGTTTTATGTTCGTTCTTTTTTTATTTTAGGGCTGTCCCCGTAACGGACGATACCTTCGTAATTAATGTTCCAAAACAATATTTTTCCGATAGTGCAGGCCCAGGAACAAGTATTTGATCAGATGATGCATGCAATTAATGTAGTAATTTATCTCAGTTCCGTATCAGTCTATAATCTTAACAAGAGAAAAAGAAGAAAATTCACTTTGTCTAATGCAAAGGGCATGAAAATCTTGACCTTGACGGCTTAGTCAGGTGTCGTTTGCTATCTTCTTGATTTGCGTTCAGTGAATTCTTGCCGGTAAGCATGTTTACACAAAGCAATTTTCAGTTTCGGTATTGCATCGGTTTTACCGTTTCCAAACAACATTTCTCATTTTTCGTGCTCTTTTTGTGTATCTCTTAATGCGTTTCATTTAAGTTTTTGTTATTTTTCTTATCGTTTTGTGATGTACTGATGTAAACTCATTAAAGTATGTTACAAACATATTAGACGCCGGAATGATCTTTACGACGAGAAAAATGCGAAATGGTAGCTTGGTTTTGTTTTTCTTAATGTGAGCCATTCGTAGCAGTTTGTAATGTTTTCTGACGAAGTTTTCAAAGTGAGCTCCGTGAACACCATGGCATGTGTATGAACTAGTTAAAACATGCGTTTTTTTCGGAAGAGCTGGCAAATGGACTACACTTGGGTCAGATGGAAGCATCTGGATAAATTGAAACTTCGTATTCTGCAATCAGCACTGCTATAAAAGTATGACTTAGATACATCAGGGGCACTTGTAGCTTTTACACGTGTAATTTACACGGGTAAAGTCCGACTTGTAAATACAAGGATTTAATAACACAATATTCCACACTGGAATTTACACGTGTATCTCGAGTCAGTGCACAAGTGTAAATCACAATTGTAGAATTATAGGAGGGTTAACCCCATGAAGATCTTCTTACAAAAAAATGAAAAAAAATTTAATAGACACTGCATTGATAACTTACTGCTTCCGAAATAACTGGCTTAGTCAGAAGCTCTCTGCCTTAAGCGTCAGGGCGTATCGTTGTCATTCCTGGTAAACTATATCAAAAGCAATACAGCTCTATGTAAGAATTTGAACTTGAAATGCTTTTTGTGCTGGTATCTCCAATTAGTCTCAGGAGTCATTATTTCGAATCCAGGTTATCTACTCAGTAAACGTAAGTGTATATAGTACGAGTAAAGGGTACGGAGCTCTATATGAACAAATCATGACCCAGGAGTTCAGTACATTCTGGATGCAAAAAATCAATACAACATTCTTAGCTCCCCATGGTGGGCTGAAGCTTACTCCGATATAATGCTGTATATTAGATTGCAGCAGTAGTGGTAGGTTGAAACTAAAAACATAAATGAAAGTTGAGTTAGCAAATTTAGACAAACAAATTACAAACAAAAAAAGAATACAAACGAAGCGAAACGGAAAAATACTTACCTTGATAACGCTTCATATGTAAATGCAAAAAAATTGATTGCTAAAACAGGGAACTGCGCCAAGCGCGACTTTAGGTAAGCTGACGTGGAAATTGGTTATCAAAGAAACTACTGGCTTTAAATACAAGAGGACTGAGAAATAAAAAAGGTGTAACTGACGAAGAAAAACGCTAACAAACTTAAGAGAAAAAGCTAACGAGGAGGTATCAAAAAAACACAAAGAACGAAATAAATAAATATGAATCACACGAAAAATAGTCAGCAAGCGCTTAGACCTTACATAAATCCGGCCCCAAAGTGCAGGGTTTGAACGACGAAATTACAATACGTTGTTTACGTAGTGCAGTACAGACATGCCATCGGTCCAGAATATTGAAAGGTCGCTGAGCGGCCTTTCAATCTATGTTACTAGTTTCCTGTCCAAACGGGACACAACCAACAGCGAAAAGCCCAAGAATCTCTCAAATGTAGGAAGACAAAATACCAGTTCTTTTCAAACAGGTTCGATGAAGAATTTATGAAAAATGACTAAAACTACCACGATTAACAATTCTTGCCTGTTTCGAACCCTCAGCTATCAATGTTCATTCACCTTTCATTCGGCTATCAATTGTCATTGTAAACCTCACACTAACCCTTGCGATATCAAAACAGATGTATCAATTAAAGTGGAAAATGAACTTTGTGGCGTGCAATTTGTGACTTGCAGCAACGATGCGTTTGACTTCTTCACGGACCTAATCGGTTTCATAATATAAGCTTCCAGGATACAATTTCTTGATGGCATCGAACTCCTGAGGATTTTTTGTTAAACAACTTAACTTTATGGACACTCCTTGCTTCGAACTGCATTATTAACACTCCTCCCATTCTGTGCATAATTTCATCTGAATACTCCGTATTTTTGTGTTACTGACTCAGTGCACATGCTGAGTAGAGTGTTGAGTACATGTCCCATGTATCATTGAAACCCAATATTTAATAGGTAAACGTCGTCCTTTCGTTTTCCTTTTCTTTCAAGGATTTTTTTATTTTTAGTACTGAATTTTTACATGAACTTTTTATGATATTTATGTCTAGAAAGCAATCCTTCTTGGAAATTGTTTGTGTTTGCGTTCTGTTGATTTGCTGTTACGTGAGTGAGAGTTAGCTTTTATTCTTATCTATTCCTTTAGACTGACAGTGTAGAAACTTCCAGAGCGTGTTTTCGAAGAGAGAGAAGGCCCTGAAATTTGTTGAAACCCTCAGCTATTAATTAGAGCTCTAATTGTCTTCATAGTAAATTAAAACTACTTTTCCAAAACACCTATTCCTGGGAAAAATGTCATGTATGTGTTTGGTCGATCTAAAGATAACGCACGTGAGGGTTAGCTTTCATACTTTTTTTAATGCCTTAGACGGGCGGAATTAAAAAATATTGTTTCCGATGAGAGTGAAAGCCCTCAGGAAACAATCAGAGCAAAATTGTCTACATGTTGAGTTGTAATTACTTGGAAACGTACACAACAACGCGTAAGCAAGACACTGTATAACTCTAATGAAGGAAACAATCGGAGCACAAACTGTCTACATGTTGATTTGTAATTTTTTAACATCATAGACAACAGTACGTGATGAAAGGATCATGACATCGTCGACTTTTACCGTCGTGCACTCTGCTGTCATGCCAATTGCGATGGGGAACAATGGTAATTTGACAGCTACAAATGTCAAACCTGAATGAACATAATGCCCAGACTTTCAGTGTAACACAGCCCCTTGAATTTGGGGCCAATTAGTTCAAGGTCAAGTTAAGGTGAAGGTGTGATAGGCAAATTTATAATCAAACCTGTCCAGTGCTTTAAGTCATTTTTCAGTTTGTCTGAAGACTGAGTCGCACTTCATAGCGATGACTTCTTCCTTTGGAAAACCCGCTTTAAACGAAGGTTACATCGTAGACTATCTTGGCACTGAAAAACCGACACGACTGAAACAAATCAGAGAAAATTCAAAAGAAAACATCGCAAATTTTAGAGCTGCAAATGATCCAATTTACGAAACGCTCGACAGGAAACCACACCCAGCAAGGCGGTCAAACGAGGGATATTTGGGCTTAATTCTTTTTGCGTGTTTGGTTTCCACCGCTGCCCTTTTACTGACTTTGCTGCTGGTATGGGGTAAACTCGGCAAAAGATGTGATTGCTGCGGAACTGAAGGTTAGTAAAGAAAAAAATGTCAGTCAAAAGAGAATTTCTTGTTACATCAATGAGGATTTTTTAGTCTCGTGTCGTGTTCATATTTAAACTGTAAAATCATCCCAGATTTTATCCTAAATTCTCTTGGGCCATAAAAAAGGTCAAAGGATACTACTGTTTGGCAAAAGTTGTTTGACCGAAAATATTTCGCCTAAAATCAACACGTTCACGGCACAGAAACCCTTGTTCATCGTTAGTTTTCCGAAATGGTGAAAGACTGAAAAATTCGACATCATACTAATGTTTTCTGATATCTGAAAACGGATGGCAAATTTACCGTTCACCCTCGGTAAAACTCAAGAAAAACACGAAGTTCATCACATGTTACCCTGCACCAGGAAAATGCCAATGAATAGCCTGTTTTCTTGAAAGTTTTTCCGTAGTTTTCTTGTGTGCGCGAACGCTTCATTTTCCACGTGTTTTCCCACAGAATTACTGACGGTTAATGTCATGAAAACATGATATTTGTCGATAGTTTTCCTGCTCCACGAATACGCTAGTGTATAGCTTGTTTTCCTGGACATTTTTCCATAGTTTTCCCAAGCGCAACGCTGCATTTTCCAAGCATTTTCCACACAGAATTACTAACGGTGAATGCCATGAAAACATGATGT